CCTGCTCTGGGTGACCCTGCTTGGGCAGGGGGTTGGGCTGGGCGACCACAGAGGTCCCTGCCAACCCTGCCATGCTGTGATTCTGTGATTCTGTGATGCTGCTGTCCAGCTGCCCCGAGGGCAGTTTGTTGGAGCCCCTCTCTCTCAGTACCACCACATCTGGTGCCTCTGTTTAGACGCTGGGCCAAGCGTACGGAGACCGCAGGGGGATGAGGGGCGGAAAGGGCTGACCGCATCTCCTTCCGCACGGTGAGAAGAGCAACCTGTACGTCCTGTCCATCTCCTCGCACGAAGAGGAGTGTCGGGCCCCTGCCTGGATGGGCAGGGTCAGGCAACCAGGCACTTCCTACCCAAAACGTCGAGAAGCAGCTAGGTGATGCGGAGGTGTCCCTGCCCGTGGCAGGAGGCTTGGAGCCAGATGGTCTGTGAGGTCCCTTCCAGCCCAGCCCACGCTGTTGATTCTGTGTATCCCGCCTGCAGGGATGGGGAGGCGTGCTCTGTCTGGGGGGGCGAAATTATCTCGAGTGACCGCTTCCCCTTTCCCAGGAAAAGATGCTCAGCCTGCGTGGGTAACCTGAACTCCAGAGATGCTGTGCTTGATGGGAGCCAGAGGTGTGGTTGCACAGCCAAACGCTGAATGAGAGTAGGCTCTTTGCGAGGCTCTCCTGGCGAACTCTACCTTTCACAGAATCCCAGCATGGTGGGGGTTGGCAGGGCCCTCTGTGGGTCACCCAGCCCAACCCCCTGCAGAAGCAGGGTCACCCAGAGCAAGCTGCACAGCACAGCGTCCACACAAGGCTTGAATATCTCCAGAGAAGGAGACACCTTTCTGTGATCCTCGTCTAAAACGCAGCCAGGCGCCTAGCCCTTGTGGCCAGAGGTGCTTGCGCTGCCTGAGCTGGCCTGCAGACTCCTGTGGCCAGCTGGGGAGGCTAGCAGAGACACACGGGAGGCGATGCACTGGAGTTAACTGGTGGCAGTAGCGGCGCTCACAAAGCCAGTAGGACAGGCCGGCTAACTTCGATGTTTCCTGCAAAGGCCTTGGACAGTCAGACGTGCTCTGAGTGTCCAAAATCAGGTGTCGGGGATCCACCTTGATCTGTCTCTAGAGTTAAAGCGGGCTGAGATCCTCCAGGTGCGTGTCGCCTGGACACCTCTGCGCTTGGCATCGCTGTGAAAGCGCAACCCTCGTGAGAAGCATGGGCGCTACCACCATGGCAGGGAGACGGCAGAGACACCAGGCGTGAGGCGGCATCGTGGGGCCTTCTTCAGATGAACCAGTACAAGACTAGTGACCTCGGTGACAGGCAAGGCCAACTCCAGTGACACCTGACCTCTCAGAAACCTGACGGTTCCCCTTCAGAACGTGTATAAACCTCGCAAAGAGAGTAGTTCTCAGTTACGCGTGTCCTTCACCCTCAGCGGCCGTCCTGTAACTGGAGGCTACGGCCGGCTTTCGGTGGATGCGCTGGTACTCAGCCCTTGCATGCCAGCCGATGAAGGCTGCCAGTCTCCATCCCTCACTTTCACCCTTCGTGGAAGGACGAGTGAGCAGCAGCGTCGTTCCCGCTGCGGTAGCAGCCACCGCTGTCCGTGTTCACCCCACGGGAATACCTGCGCTGCCCGACGGTGTCGCGTGTGCGTGCTGGGGGTGTAGCAGCAGGCGCAGCGCTCGCGTTCCGGCGAGGCACGCACCAACACCCAGCGTCTCGTTGCTGTTATCTCGTACCCTGCTGAGTGCTTGCTTAGCGAATGGCGAGGGAATGGAAGTGTAAGTGCCTCTCCCAGGTCATGTGTTTGGTCTGCATCACCCGATAGTCGTTCTGGGAAAGGCTGTCCTGCGCCGCTGCGGTGTGCGGATCCCTTGCCCTCCCGCCGGATCCCCCTCCCGCTGATGTCAGAGCAGAAATATGCGCAGGGGGGAAAGGGCAAAATGCAGCAGAGCGGAGCAGGAAGGACTTTGCCCGAACGCGGAGAATGCTGCTGGGTGTCAGCAGATGCCCACGCCTGCGCGCCAGCCCTTCCGGCCCGTCGGGCGGAGGAGGCCATCGGTGCCTGCGCACGGCTGGGGGCAAGCCTCTGTTCGCTGCTGTGGGAGGAGGCTGTTTCTCATTTGTCCCTCGCAGGTGTCTGGGTTTTGGCCTTTCCTCCAGTTGGAAAGTGGTGCCGCCTCCTGGAGCAGGAGGGAGAGCGGCCCCATCTCTTCCTCCTACCTAGGCCTGAGTTTCTCAAACACAAAAGCCGGGTTCTGGTAACTCTAAAACTGGAAACTTTAGGTTAGAGCTGCTCAGGTTGTGTTCAGATCGAGGAAGCGTGCAAGCTGAAACAGAAATATGTAGGCTGAAAGAGGCCGTCGCGTAGCTTAATCCATCTCCTGAACGCAGTACGGTAGAAGCAGGTATCTCGGGTACCTGTGGCATACTTTGCCTTGACCTACGTTCATTGCTGTCACGTGGCCCCAGACCAAACCTTGCCATCGTGTGTCACGCAGCGAGGGATGACAGCAGCAGTACGTGGGGAGCAGGAGGGACCCTCAGGTCACTAACTCTCACTGACAGCAGCAGTACGTGGGGAGCAGGAGGGACCCTCGGGTCACCAGCTCTCGCTGGTCTCAGGAGCTCGGCATCCCCTCTCGCCATGGCGTGGTGTACACTCAGTGGGACAGAGCTGTCCTGCACCACAGCTTAGTCCACGGAGCGCTGCTCAAACATCCCTCTAGTTCCTGGGAAGGACGGGCAGTAAATCATCTTTTCCTGGCATCATTTGGGACCGCGGGTCCCTGGCTGCGGCTGGAAGCCTGCCGTTGCAGCAGTGACCGAGCTGCCACCCTCTGTCAGCTGGTGGCCTTGTCCTGCACACTCACTTTCTGTTGTGGCGACTCAAATTGCCCTTACGGAAAGGTTAAACTGCTTCTCCTGGTGAGATCTCTAGTGAGCACAGTGCTGTTCGGGGAGGGGGGACAGGAATCATCCCACCCTGAAAGCAAACCTCTGGTGCTGCCCCGCTGCAGTGAAAGGCAGGTCCTGCTGAGCCGTGCGAGCAGGCGCCGATCTCTCCAGCGTCGTCTGCTGTGCAAGCGCAGATGCTCTGCCACTGCGGCTCCCGCTTTGGCAGACCTAGCCGTTGTCTCTTCTTCTAAAGCTTGGTGGAAACCTGGCTTGCAAGGAATGCGGTGGAGAGGGAGGTTAGGAGGAATGGTGTTTTTAAATAAACACCAACACAAAAAAAAAAACCCTGTCCCCCTAAGATGGGTGTTCCTGCTGTTCTTGTATGTAGCCGGACTAAAGCTCAGAGGAAGCCTGCTAATCGCCCAGAAAGAGACGAGCTGCAGGAAACCCATAAATCACTGCTAGATTTGACAGTCAGATGTAATGAAACTTTCTAACAACCGGAGCTGTATTAGAGTGATCAAGAAATTACGAAGCACACTCCCTCCATTAGACATGCATGACCTGACAGGTTAATAGAGGCAAACAGCCCAAAGACACGAACTGCAGACTTCTGTGGAGCGGGGCTGATGACTAAGCAGTTCATGAGCAGGTTAGTCTGTGACCACAGCAGGAGTCTGAGCCAAGTGGATCTCATGGACAGCTGGGGAAACCTTGACTGTTCCTCATGGGCTAGCATGAAGCTACGAGTACTTGTGTTGGTCTTCAAGTCCTGTTTGGAAATGTTCGTTTAACCAGGAGGATACCTGAAAGCCGTGCCCGTGCAGCACTCTACAGCCCGAAAGGTGTCAAAGTGCTTCGTGAGCTGGATCTCTGAGAGAGGGCAAGGAGGGCCCTTGCTCCCCAAGGAAACGCAGCCCCTGCTCTGGTGGCCAGGCTCCTCAGCCTGCCTGGTGCAGTCCCCCGTTACGTCTGGTACCTGCAGCAAGGCTGCTGAGCTCCAGTTTTCTTTAGTGTGGGTGGTGAAGGAAGGACAGAAATGTACCCATTTTCTTCTGGGGTCCTACTGAGATAAGTAACGCTGGTCCAGGACCCGTAAAGTGGTCAGCAGCCCCTCGGAGCCAGTGACCAGCTGAAGAGGGTTTGGTATCTCGTGTTGGCTGTCTTTGCAAGCGGGCTTTCAGCTGAAACGCTCCAGCACAGGAGCGGGCATCAGTGCAGGAATGGTCCGGCCTTTCCGGCCGGCCTGGCAGGCAGGCGGCGGCAGAAGCTCTTTGCTGCCCAAGAGCAGCGTTTGCGTTAAGCCTGCCTGGAGCAGGACGTGGTCTCTGGAGCCGGGCTCGGCACGGACCGGGCGTGCTGCGTCCTAGCAAGTCCTCTCCCCATGGACTGGTGTGACGCAAGGACGCCTTGATTTCAGTCACCAGAAGAACTCCTCCTGTGCTGCACGCCGTGGGGCTGTTCCTCGTTGTGGAACCCTGGCTGTGTCCCTGGCACAGGCCAGTCAGAAACCTCACAGAATCGCGTTGGGCTGATTTCTGCCTCTCCAGTGCCACCTCTCCAAGCCTGTTGCTGCCAGTTTCACACAGTGTGTGGGTGAGAGGTGGTCACAAGCACCAAGCTTCTGTTTGGTCTCTATTCTACGTTACAAGTTTGTGCTTCAGAGATGTTTCTTCGGGCTGCCTTGTTTCATATAGGCAGCAGATCTCTCAGACTTACGTTTTTTCAGCTTACAACACTAGGTTTTTCCTACTAAGGTAAAAAGCTTCTGTTCTTGTGTGGACTTGGTGAGTACACCAGCTGAAATACTTGACAAGCATCTGGTTTTGACGCTTCTTTTTGTTCTCTTGTAGGCTACCTGTTGCAAGCAGTGCTGGGCACAACAGTGATCCCGTTATGTGGGCCGGGTGAGATGGAGAACTGCACAACAGCGCTGAGTAAGTGTCCTTGTTGGACAACAACCAGCTTTTGGCCTGCATTTCCTTTAGTGCTGCTTCTTCAGCAGAAGGGCTCTGTCTTAGGTGAGAACTCTGCTGTAAAAGCAGAAACAGCTTATGTGGAACTCCTGAAGGAGAATTCAGCATCGCTCTGGCCTGGGAAAATCCTCCCCCCGTTCAGAAGGCTCTCCTGCTTTACCTCCTTCTGCATTGAAGGGCTCTTGGTAGCAAGACTATTAGTCGTACTCATAAAGCTTGTGTGTTGTTTGGGAAATACAAGGGGAACAGAAGGCTGCTGAGATGCTAACAAAGCCTCCTTACAGTCCAGACAGAGGACAGTCCGCGTGTGGCTCAAGTTGGGATCACTCGGTGCAAGCCTGAAATGAAGGACTACTGCTTCCACGGACAGTGCGTGTACATCGTGGACTTGGATGAGCACTACTGCAGGTACGGGCAGGGCTGCGGACCTCCCTGAGGTGGGCTTCCAGAGGAGCCGTGCCCGGCCTTTGGTCCGGCTGCTGCTGACGCTTGGCTGGAACACGAAGCCAGCTGAGCATTTAGATGCTCTCAGAGCTTGGGCAGGAGCAGTATGTCTAAACTAGGCCTCAGCTGCATTTAAGCAAGTATTAAGGACACGTGCTGTCTCCGGTGAAACCTGAGTGAGAGCCTTAGAGACCCGCAATTAGTCACCAGCCCAGCGTGAACCTGGGACGTTCATGCTGATGTGCTTCCCTGTTCATCTGTGTTCACAGCAGTGTGAGATCCAAACCTCAGGCAAAGCAGCAAGGTCTCTCCTGTGCTTCAGCCCACAAAGCGAAGTCCCTCTAGGCCTTTCTAAGGGTATTGCTCCTTTACTTGAAGAATTTGAAACCATTTCTAGGCCCTCATGGGCTGGAGTGACGTCAGTTCAAACTGCTTGTCCCCGCGGAAGCAGCAGGCCAGCAGCACGGCGTGCTTTGTGCACTGCTGAGGTGTAACCCCGCGGCGACGTCTCTAACTCTGCGTCTCCCGCCCCCAGGTGTGACGTAGGCTTCTCTGGTGTCCGATGCGTGCACTCGGAGCTCGTCAGACAGCCCCTCAGCAAGGAGTACGTGGCACTGACGGTCATCGCAGTTCTGCTTTTCCTCACCGCCATCTCCATTGCAGCCTACTACGTCTGCAGAAGGTAAGGAGGATTTCCTCTGTGGCTCAGGAAGGCGAGTCAGCCGCACGCGTCATGCGGTGCCTGCTGCGTACCTGCAGTTGGACTGGGACACCGACGCTCGCTTGCCGGGCTGGAGGCAGCCCGAGGCCCAGACCTGCTGGCCGGCAGTTCGTGTTCAGCAAGGGCAGGGTGCAGAGGGGTGCAGGCTGGGCAGCAGACCCTCGGGGGCCTTGAACCCTGACGGAGGACGGTGTAGCTCAGTTTACGGCTGTCGGGGAGGGAGTGCCGACCTAAAGGAGAGAGCAGACAGGGAGCAGGAAAACGCTGGTTCCTGTTCTTGGTGACGCCATTTCCCCAGCCACCAGGAACGGGAGTAATCCCAGCGAACTGATCCGCCACGTTATCGCGGTGACGGTGGTATCACGAGCACTGCTCCCCCGTGGAGGACGGTGTTCTCCACTGACAGACCCACAAGCAGCAGGAGTCCTTCTTCAGGCTAACAACTAGTCGTACGCAGCTGTCGGAGAGCCGAGAAGGTGGGACAGCCGCGGAGGGAGAGCTCGGCCTCCCCGACCCGATGACTAGATGGTAACCACCATGGTCCCTCTGCCCTGCCTGCAGTCCCGACAGCGCGTCACCTGGTGCCAGCCGGGCTGGCTAGGGGCCTCGGCCCTGCCGCCGGGAGGGACCCAGCAGGGCTGCTCAGACGAGCCTAGCGCCAGCAGCGAGGCTGCGACCGCAGCGCGGTCGGGAAATGAGACCCCGCGTACAAGGTGTCTCGGATCTGGAAGTGCGCACGGACAGAGCGTAGCTGCTAGAGGCTGAAAACAAACGTGAGGAGGTCGTACAGTGGATTTTTAATTCTTGCGCCCTCCCTTCGCTCCCCAAAGAGCCCTTGGGAACAGCTGGCTCCCCAGAGCTGACGCTTCTCTGCTCTACTCCCAGGTACCGGAGCAGGAAGAGACAAGCGAACTCCAGCGAATACAAGGAAGTTGGTGCCCTGTAGAAGGAACGGCGGCTTCCTACAGTGTTCTGTTCATCGGGGTGGACTCGGTGGCTTCCCAGCTATTTAAATGTTATTTTTATTAATAATATTTTCAATATTTATATCCTTTTAAAAATTTCACTTGTTTGGTGATCCAGTCAATATAGGTCAAGCATTTTATTTTCAGTGTTTTATTTTTTTATTGAATAATATTTCCTAACGGGAACCCCACCTAAGTGGTTCTGTGGGATAGAGATATATTTTTATAAAAACTCATCTTCTTACTCTGAAGAGTAATTTTATATTTATTCTTGTGAATATGCTCACAACAATTCTGCTCCTTGAAATAAAAGTTGTAGACGGAGTCAAAATGTCTGCGTGGTTTGACTGGAGTGAGACTTGGCACAGCCTGGCCGAGCAGGATGGCTGAAGCCCCAGCAGTCGTTTTTGGAGAGAGAAACCTTAGTATCGCTCACAACACGTATCGAGGCGCGCTGGCTGCGATGAGCACAGCTGTCAGCTGGTGTGACGGGGGGAGGACTTCAGGGCAGGGAGGCCCCCGCCCCTCGCCCTCCCCATCCAGCGTGCGCTGTGCGGCGGCAGCACGGCGCGCGGCCCATCCGCGCCCTCAGGGAAGTCGTGTTGGGGACACCTTGGGTTACAGCGGGGAAGCGGCACCACGAGTCGGTCGGTCTCTGCAGCGGAGTAACGCGGGGCAGCGCGGAAGAGAGCTCCCTCAGAACCAGCACTCGAGTCCTCCCCGGAGAGTTTCTGCCACGGTGTCTGTCGTACAGCTGGGAGCAGGGGAGAGGAAAGTTTTAAAGTGTGGTCTTGGTGTAGGTATTTTGTTGGCCTAAAAGAATGATAGAACAGCCCGCTGGGTTTAGCTGGACCCCCAGCGTGGCTCCCCGGGAACAGGCAGGATTCTTGCAGCATCTGAATCATCGCTGTTACCCCATCACTTCTCACACTCTCTGAAGAGGTCAGAAAAAGCACAGCCCTTACGTCGTTCTCGGTCTTTGCCAAAGGCCCGAGTGAGCTGTGTCGGCCCGCGCTGCTTGCTGTTTACGGGTGTGAGACCTCTGATCTCTCGAGCTGTGCAACAGGATCGTTGTAAGG